AAGCCAAAGTCTCTTATTAAAACAACTCAACCAACCATACTCTTCACCTCTCTCATCTCATCACTTTCCTCCATTCAACTCAACTCCTTCTTCATCATTGTCAAACTCAATCATGTCCCATGATCAGCAAAACCAGCCTGGCATTGTATCTTCTTCATCATTCTCAAACTCCATCATGTCTCATGATCAGCAAAACCAGCCTGGCATTGTATCCAATCCTGACGGTACGTATACACGGTTGATACAATTTCCAAGCACCCCAGCCACACCCGATCGCAACACCCACTCTCCTGTTCTCTCCAAAGACCTTCCTCTAAACCCTAAAAACCAAACATGGCTCCGAATTTATCTCCCCAAACAAGCCCTTGACAAACCATCCACCACCCCCAATCTCATGCTCAACCTTCCTGTAATAGTTTACTTTCATGGCAGTGGCTTTGTCTTCACGAGCGCAGCCTCAACCATCAACCATGACTTCTGTGTCAAACTTGCCGCCGACCTCTCTGCCGTAATCGTCTCCGTCGACTACCGTCTTGCTCCCGAACACCGCCTACCCGCTGCCTACGATGACGCTGTCGAGACCTTGCAGTGGCTTAAAACCACCCAAGAGAGGTGGCTAACTCAATTTTGTGATTTTTCATGTTGTTTTCTCATGGGCACTAGTGCTGGTGCCAACATAGCCTACCATGCAGGGCTACGTGCAACCCAAGTTATTGATGATCTTCGGCCCTTGAAAATCAAAGGGTTGATTTTGCACCACCCGTTTTTCGGTGGGTCAGAGCGGGTCAGGTCAGAGCTTGGGTTGATTAAGGACCCGTTTTTGACATTATCCGGGACTGATTTTATGTGGGAGTTGTCATTACCCATCGGTTCAGATCGTGATCATGAGTATTGCAATCCAACGGTGGGCAGTGGGTCGAGTCAACTACAGCAGATCCGGTTGGCGGGTTGGCAGGTCTTGGTGACGGGTTGTAATGATGACCCGTTGATTGACCGTCAGATGGAGTTTGCAAATATGTTGAAGGAGAAGGGTTTAAGGACAGTGACCCACTTTGGTGAGGGTCACCACGGCATTGAGCTATTTGTGGAGTCTAAAGCTAAGGATCTGTTTGTTATTCTACAAAATTTTATTACTTCATCGTGATTGGAGGGGAAGGTAGTTCATTTAAAAAAAAGAAGATAATTATCGAGTAATAAAGATTGTACATTATACATCTTACATAAGAACATTATAATAAAGATTGTAAAATCTTTTTAAAATTTCTTAATATTTACTGTGAGAAGTTTATATTACAATATAGAAGAGTTTTAAAAATCAAATATTTTGATTTTTAAAAGTAAAAATTTTGTTGCAAATGATATTTAGGGATCAATTTCCATCGTCATGAGGATAGTTACTAAAAGGTTATCTTAAATAGTCAAAAATAAGGCTTTCAACGACAAAATTTTGAAAATATCAATAATAAATAAACTTTTAGGGATAAAATAATTTGGTCTGAAAATGATTTATTTTTTGAGACAAAAAATTTGTTCCCCAAAGGATAATAATTTATCACTAATGTTCAATTTTTGTTGCTAAATAATAATGACGACACTTTCGCAACAAAATTATTTGGTCTCTAAAAAATAATTTTGTCCCTAAATTTTGGTTTCTAAAACCTTAATTTTTTGTAATGTTATTTCTAAAACTCTTGAATCAATAGCTCCAAGTTTAAATATTTTGTTTAAGCCAAAATGACATTATTTGTCCATAAGGACATCCATCTATTCAAAACTTATCTATCTGTCTATTTGTATAAATATCCTATATCTGTACACGTATTATCTATCTATCCAATTATCTGTTAAAATGTCTCACTTTTTATTTAAATGGCTCTGTTTATTTATCTATATATTCAATGATCATTCCACAAATATAGAATATATATTTAAAAAGTTTCAAAATTACCCCACATTTATTTATTTTTATTCCAAACTTAAAAATATTCAGTCTAGTAAAGCATCTCCGAGAATTCTTTAAATGAGACTTGATATTATAGATAGTATTATCATATTTTAAAAAAAATTAAGGCCAAGTCCAGGCCCAGGGAGTATTCGGGACTCGGGCTGCTCAGGCCCGGGCCTGGGCCTAGGCTTGGATAGGGTTTGGGCAAGTCTGAACATTTTTTTTTTAATTTTTCTATCAAAATTTATTTATTTTTCACTAAAAATGACACTGAGTTTTAGACGGGCCAGGCTTTTAAGCAGGCCTTGAGCGGGCTTACAGGCCGGGTCAGGTTTAAAAATGACGGCCTAGGCCTAAGGTTTCGGGTTGGAATTGGGCCTGGACCTAACCAAACCAGGCCCATCCTGGGCTGCGGGCCATATTAACACACCCCGATCCACAACAGTTTCTGAATAATGGAAACATGGGTTTTTGGCCCAAGTTGGTGGGCCTCAACTCTTTGGGCCGAACTTTGGGGGTACTCTGGGCTATGGATTCATAATTTTGGAATTTGATGCCTGTACTGTTTGTTAGTTTTATCAAATTGCTCCTTGGTTTGCTAAAGTGGATCAGAATTCTCTGGAATGGATCTCATTATAATTGTATTATTGTGGTAATTTTGAAATTCATATACGGTTTTAAACATCATTTCACTTCTATTTTAACTCCAACAGTGAATTATATATTTTACTGATATATCTTCTTGTTTAAAATATATATATATATATATAAAAAAAAATTATTGTAGAAAAATCATAACAAAGAAACTAAATTCTTTGAAAAAATACTAGGGGGTGCAGGTACGAGGAAAAAAAATAAATAATACCCATCACTTGCAACAACCAAAGGTTCTTTTGTTGTCTAATATAGAATTAGGGTGAAACGTCTATTGAAAATAGGTGAAAAGGTTAAAAGAGTTTTGAGATTAATGAAAAATATTTATAAAAAAAAAGGGTCTTATATTTTTAATATTTTCTTTTATCTTTTTGTTGTATCCAAAGACACTTTTTTTTTCTTTTTAGTTTTTTTTAATGAGCGGAAAAGAGACTTATTAATGAAATCTAATTTAAAACACTGAGACAAATAGCATTAAAGAGTATCATAGCAAAACTTTTCAAACTCAATTATGTTGCCATTGAGAATAATTTTTTTTTTTTTTTTTTTTTTTTTTTTTTTTTTTTTAGTTTTTTTTAATGAGCGGAAAAGAGACTTATTAATGAAATCTAATTTAAAACACTGAGACAAATAGCATTAAAGAGTATCATAGCAAAACTTTTCAAACTCAATTATGTTGCCACTGAGAAGATTTTTTTTTTCTCTCTCTGTAGTCATAATTGAAAATATCACAAGTACAACACTTCATATGAAAATTCTTTGAACTTAGCATTATGATGCCACCCATTCCGGATCCAAGCACATCATACTTCTATATTATTGCGAATGCCAAACTAAACAATATTTTTTTTTATTGGAATATAATAATTTTTTTGAAAATAAATACAGAAGGCCAAAAAGATATATATATATATATATATATGCATAATTACACATTCCAAACAAAAATGTAAAACCAATCAAACTATTCAAACTTGACTCGCATTTGATTTACTAAAACTTCATTTAAAGTTGATTCATTATGTAAATTAATCAAACATAAATTCATTTTAAAAGTTGTCTTATTTTCAAAACCAAGATTAAATAACGTATATCTTGGCAAGCTTAAACAAAATTTGTTGAGTTTTCAAATGAAATTTAAATAAACTTCAATGACTTACATCAATTTAGTTCAACTGATAATGCATCTTGAGGGACTGACGTTCATTTTAAAATGATTCTTTCCTTTTTTAATATACCATTTTGTCATTGATTTCTATCTATTTTTTTAGTTGATGTCATCAATTGGACTACACAATGTGAAAAATTAAAAGATAAAATTGATATAATTAAAATTAAATGATCAAAATCAATAGATGAAATAAATTATAAGGATTGTAAATATAATTTGGCAAGAAATAAATATTATTTTGCCGTCGTAGGTAACAAGAAAGATATAGACGGAAAAAAATCAAGTCAAAAACCTGATTAGCATTGGCTTGAGTCATTGTGTAATGCTATCACTACAAGAAAAGTGGGCTTATGAGACGGAACTTTTTGCGACGGCACATTTGCCGTCGCAAAAAATGACTTTTTGCGACGGCCCAACTTGCCGTCTCAAAAAGTGTGACTTTTCGAGACGGCACAACTTCCCGTCGCCAAAACATGTGACTTTTTTAGACTGCACAACTTGCCGTCGCAAAAAGTGTGACTTTTGGAGACGGCACAACTTCCCGTCTCAAAAAATGTGACTTTTTGAGACGGCACAACTTGCCGTCGCAAAAAATAGAGTATTTGCAACGATACCAGCTGCAGTCGCAAAAAAAAAAAAAAAGGATTGAACTCTTGTTAAGAATGCTTCAAGAATCGAAAGTGGTGTTAACTCAAAGGCATCATAAACCATGAAAGGAACTTTTTGGACAAAAGCTTAAGCCGTGGCAAGAATGGATTTGAACTTCTTAGGTGAACTTCAATCATATTGAAAGCGATATTTTACTGAAGTTTAAAGTAGTGGTGACTGATGAACCACTAATGGGGTGTTTTGTTAATTAAGATCATGTACAAATTGATTACAGAGGTTTGGCCCATGTTTCTATGACTAGTCTTATTTATGATCCAGATATAGATTCCAAAATGTAGGAATATTTCTTTATAGAATGTGAAATATGAATATTTTTCTATGTACATAAGAGTTGGAGGTTACATATGTTGTGGCCTTGAAATAAATAATCATCAAATTTGTGTCTTAAATTTGGGGTGACTCTTGGTTTTTCATATGCACATGGGTTTGTGTCTGACACAAATGATGGATTAGTATAACAGGATATTACATTATCATTTCTGAGAATACTTGACCCTCATGGTTTGTGGTTTATCACATGATATTGTAGAAAATTTTCTTTTTAGGATGAGTTAGCTTCTTTAATTTGATTCATGTTGTTTGCTGATATTTAGGGCCAATTGTTCCAATTAATGCAACGTTTACAGAGTACAACACCACATTTCATTCGTTGTATCAAACCCAACAACGTTCAATCTCCTGGAATGTATGAACAAGAACTTGTGCTGCAGCAGCTAAGATGCTGCGGGGTCCTAGAAGTTGTTCGAATATCAAGATCTGGCTTTCCTACCAGGATGACTCATCAAAAGTTTGCCAGAAGGTAAAGAAATATGGTGTCATTTTATTTAATTTTTTTAGTTCTATTGGCATGCTAAAAATTGTGTAATAAATTCTCAAGCATCTGATTTTTCTTGTCTCAATGATCCTTTTATTTTTATTTTTATAATGCCCTCTTTTCATGTATCCTGCATTAGGTATGGTTTTCTTTTACTGGACAATGTTGCATCGCAAGACCCACTAAGTGTTTCAGTTGCAATTCTTCATCAGGTCAATATTCTGCCTGAGATGTATCAAGTTGGCTACACACAATTGTTTTTCCGCACTGGCCAGGTAAGATGTACACTTTCAATTGACTCTGCAATCTAGTTTATTCAATAAAGATGCAAATATTTAGTTAATCCTACTAAGGACTTCATCCTAGCAGGGTAAAAGTTGAAAATTTTCTGTGCATGTGGACGGGTTGGCCCACATTGAGTAAAAACAGCTTGAGTTGAGTTGCCTTTTTGCATAACTAAAGTCAGAAGTAGCTTGATGATAAAATAGATGTCACACCTTCAAAAATATCCAAATGGATACATTGCAAAATATTGGTATTTGCTTTGGAAGACCATAGAAAAATATATAACAAAAAAAAAATGTTTTTTATTTTTGTATTTGATTGAGATGTTTAATTATCCATCTGGGATTTGATGACTAACAAAAAAAATGTTGTATTTGATGTTATAGTAGTTAAATTTTTATGTTTTTTTGTAATTAACATTAACACATAATTATATTGTCATTAATTATTTTTATTTTTATTTTTCAGATATTTCCCATGTAAGAGTGTGCTTCTTGTAAAATGCATGCCTGTGGAGAATGTAGCTGACTTTTGTTTTTGTTATCTACGAAGAATGATGAGAAAAACATTTAATTTTGGTTTATGTTATTTTGAATTATGAACAAAATAATGTATTTAAACATTATAAATGTATTATGTAACATTATGTAGTGCGATAATTTTGTTGATGTGTAATTATGAATGGAAGAATATTTTATTATGAAGAAATTGCTATTTTTATATAGGAATTTTTATATTATTATGGAGAAATTTTAATATTTTTAATAATTTTATCGCAGGATGTTTTTTTCTTTTTTGTGACGGTACTATACCGTCGCAAAAAATAGAAAATTTTAATATTTTTATTGATTTTGTTATAGGTTTTACTTTTTGTGACGACACTAAACTGTCGCAAAAAATAAAAATTTTATTATTTTTTAATACTTTTTGCGACGGCAGTACACTATCGCAAAACATAGAAAATTTCATATTTTTAATACTTTTTGCGACGGCACCATCTCATCGCAAAAAACAGTGTTCTTGCCGTTGCAAAAAAAGACTATTAGCGACGGTATTTTTTGCCGTCTCAAATAACATTTTTAGCGACGGTAAAATAGTGCTGTCGCAAAAAGTCAAAAAATTTCATACATTATTAGCGACTGCAAAGTGTCGTCGCAAAAGGTAAAAATGCCGTCGCAAAACATTAGCGACGGCTGCCGTCGCAAAAATTCTTTTGCAAACCCTTTTGTTGCGACCCCCCACTTGCCGTCGCAAAAAGTCACCTACCACCGCAAAAAACCTTTTGAGACGGCGTTTGAGGTATTTGCGACGGCGTTTTACCGTTGCAAAAAAGCAATTTTTTTGTATGCCAAGTTTCAATAATAATATTATGCCATATCGTTATTTCAACAACATTTATGCTCCTGAGAAAGCTATTGATAAGGCATAATCAAGAAGTTATTTGATGGTTTTGAAATATTATTCTATACAATTTATATTTGGATAATGTCATATTGTCTCTTCAAAAGAGATAAATAAATGGTGGGACTCACTATTTTAACTAATAATAAGCACCACTTAAATTTGTTCCCTAAGCAAATTATAATTTGTCGTCATTTAAAGAGCATTAATCAACAATTGAACATGACTTAACCCTATATATATATATGTATGTAACACAATATATATATGGAAGAAATTATAAATTATCATAAGCTTGGCCTAATCTACACATTCATAAATCTCTTATTTTCTTTTTTCGGCTTGATCTGGGCCATGACATTGTGATCAAGGGTGTACTTAGTCAATAAGGGTCGATATTGGGCCGGATTGACAAAGATATTATCCAAATGTGTCAGGATTTTTTTTGCCAAGTTAGCCCAACACTAAAAATTCAAGTTCCACTCAAATGAACTTGCCAACAAACTGTCTCTGACGGGCCAACAAATCAGGCTTCAGTACCTTAGATTCAGCCCTAACCCAAGCCTTATGTGATTTGGTCTAGGGTACAAACTTGGACCAGGAAAATGTATGGTGGACCGAGCATCTCTAATGTTAATAGACATTTTACCTAATCAAATATTATTATAAAGTATACATTTTATTTTATCTGTTAATTTTTTTTATATTTCTATCCAACTATGCTCTTTATTTTAACTATTTATTTAAATACTATTTATTTTATAAAATGCCAATCAATAACAAATATGGAGGGAAATAATTTTAAAGATTAAATACATTTTGCCTAACTTTTGAAGGCTAGCTATATGTAGCTAGTGAATGTAAATTGAGGCAAAACGCTTAATTATATGCTTAGTGAATTGGAGTTGAAAAAGTGAGTTATATTAAGTATTTTGACTAACATGCATTATATACATAGGCTTCGTTTGGAAAGTGGGTTAGCTTTTTGGCTTTTTAGCTATTTTAGCTTGGAGCTAAAAAATCTGGCTTGGGAAGGGTTTTTGACTTTTTTGTTAGAGAAAGAATGTAATGATTATGGGTTGGATGTGATGTTTTGCCTTATTGAACTAAAAAACTTATTTTGTTTTTTGTGGCTATTTTAGCAAAAAAATCTTCAAACCCAACTTCCCAAACATAGGCATAGTAGGTTGGAGATACTCTACTACAGCATATAAGACTTTGGGCGACCAATTATTTTGGTCCCTAAAATCATTATTTTGGTCTAAATGATTTTTGTGACAAAATTAAATTCGTCACTAAAAAAGTCACAAAAAGTGTGTCTACAAAAGTCTTTAGCGACGAATTTCTATAAGTGTCATTGAAAATGACAATTAGCAACCAATTTTATATTATCACAAAATGTTTGATTTTACAAGACTAAACATTTAGTCGCTAATACTTCGTCACAAAATGTCCTAATTTGGTCACGAAAAACAAAATAATGACATTTTTAACGATAATGATATTTGGTCACTAAAAGACAAATAACTTTCTCTACAACACATTTTCGTTGCTAAAAATCAAAATTGAGAATTTTGTAATCATTTAATTTCATAGCTAAAAATGCACAAAAGTAAATGTCATCCAATTATATTAAAAAAAAATTGACATCCACACATCAAAGGCACTCTATTCCCAAACCATTACGAGTATACAAAAAGTAAGATTTTACAAAGATTAAAATTGAAAGTTTTCAAATTCAAATCAAAGTAGTAGCAGTTCAAATGAAGAATAGCAACAGTTTCTTCAAAGAGAATCTCTAAAAAAACATTTTCTCTACATCAATATCAGGCTTTTATATCAGACAACCTTAGTACAAGAGGCTTCAAGTTGTACTTAGGTGTGACACCCTTTGGACATCACCGCAACCCAAAATTCAAAAGGAAGAATCAAATAATAAGAATTAACACAACATAATCTCATTAAATAATCAACAGTCATTCATAATCAAATAAGTTACAAATAATGGAAAAACACGTTATCTCAATGTACTTGGAGTAGTAGTGAGCTATAATAAGAATCAACACAACAAGAAAGTGCGTAGAATCACATTAATGCTTTTTGAAACTTGGTTTCAACAACTAGACTCTGTGCAATTACTAGGACGTGCAGTTGTTCTTTAGTTACTAGTAGAACAAGCTATCTCAAATATTTGGGATCTTTGTGACATAATAAATTAACAATCATACATGGACCTCCACCGAGGGAGATTTGTATATCTGTCTATCTCTATCTCGTTTACAAGGGGAGAGACAATAAATATTGTAGGGTGGCGAGGGTAATTCTTGGTTTGTTGTTTCATAACAAATTCAAAACTAACCAAAGGAAAACAAGCCCCACAAATTCAAAGCACTACAACATTTAGTTGAAACATTAGTAGATTTTTCCAGCTAAATGACCAGATTTAGGCCGAGGCATCATAAAAACTCAAACAATTTGAGGTTTAATTATCATTATTGTCTAAGATTAAACCTTGATCTCTGTGAAGACAAGGCATGGACCCCATGTCTTTCCATTGACAAACTGGGGACTAATCATATTTCAATTCTCACCTGCCTATCATTCGCACTGCAAAATACCAAAAAACAACAATATCATATTAATGCTGAAACAAGTTTTTCAATCTACTTCAGTATTGCCTTAAAATATTTTTGTTACATGATATGCCCACTACTAGCACAAGAATCCACATTGGATCAATATAACATTTTCATATTTCATCATGCTTAGGTTCCTATTAGAAGCCAGGGAAGCAGAGGTACGAGCATATAGAACATATCATGTTCAAACAAGGACACATATTTCATCATCCAGTATTAAATATCCTAGAAATATAAGGACGGCGTCTAAATATTTTCCCTTTGCTCTGGCAAAGCTCTAAGTTAATTTGGTGTTGCTTTCTAGTACAATTGTTAATACAACTTCCCAGTATTAGGTAACTCACTCTAAATTATCCAATTATTTTAAGTTTCAATATGACGTCTAACTCCCACCAAAGTATCACCATTAATAAATCACATTTTCCTATATTTAGATTTCTTAGCTAACATGAATGCCCAGATATAAGCAATGTAATTTGTAAACTTGGACACTACTTCTTCCAGTCAATCCATCTAATTATTTGAAAATGGATGAGGAATTTGTGAAAGATTAAAATAATGGGAAAATAATCAATGGGAAAATCATTCAAATATAATCAATGGGAAAACCATTCAAATTCTTCCAAAAATATCAAAAATCACTACCATTGATGTGTTCAAAAGAAAAATATGATATCCAATTGATAATTGATCCCAAAATTATAAAACATTGTCATAGGATATGATGGAATTGGAGTATTAATTGTCAATTTATATAGATTTGATTCGAATGTATGTTGCTTTGATTAATAGATATTCATGAATGCATACATATATATATGTACATCATGATCAGAACATACATAAAGGCAGTTATATAATAGGAATATATAATATAATGTATGGAAAAGAATTCAAGATATCTGGAGAATGAATTACCCAAAGAACAAAGATAACATGAGATTGTAGCTGTTTTAAAGGCATATGGAATACAATCTCGTACTCACCTGTAAAAGACA